GTTGGTTATTTTGAGTAACTAAATGAATCAATATGACAATACATTACCTACTTCTGGCTTTTGTATTTTTGTAAGTTTCTTTGTGTTTAACTTTCCTACTGTCTGTCATGGAGCTGTGAATATTGTATTTATTAGTCACACATGGGGCATTTAGAACCCATAGTAATCAACTTTTACCAAACTGGTACTTCAGAATACTGTAGTCTTTGCATATCTAACTTTTCTTCTTTCTTTTATACACTGATATTTCTCTAAGATGAAAATATTAATAGATATTTATTAAACATTGTATACGGAAGATCAAGTAAGAAACCCATATCATTTCAGTAGGGAACATTTTAGGATAGCATAAAGCTAATCTCCCAGACAGTGTTAGGACATGAAAGCAGAGGTGAAGTAAACTACTCAGTTGAAAGTGGGAATCCTCAATTCCTCTCAAATTCTTTCCTAGGAGAGGTGACGAAAAAATGATGGCTATTAAAAACAAAATCAGCCATAGTCCTTGTTTTTGTATTTTAACTGTTTGAAGAGGAACCCTAGTCAAAACCTAATCCATTACTACTTTAACTTCAGAGAAAATGTCTTTGTACTCTAGAATAAGTGAATGAAGAGGGGGAAGGAGCCTACTGGCACATATTTTTGAAATATTTTGGAAGGTAAAATACACATGATACAGACTCCTGAAAATCTAAAGAAAAACACAGTAGGAAATGTTCAATATATGTATAAATAGCAATCAAGACACATTTTTACCTTCAGAAATTTGGAAATAGGATGAATAGTGCCTCAACTTACTCAATGTGTTTCCTTCCCCGTCCATGACAGTACAGGGTGTTTTATATGCTTGATGCTTTTGGAAGAAAGAATAAATTGAAAACAATTGGCAAGCCTTCATGCTGTGCATAAATTGTGGGCATCATAACAGTGCACGGGTATCACCATTAAACAGCCCCTGAAGCTATAAAACCTAAATGTTTCCCTTAAGGTATAAAAATGGAATTTCCTTTTAGCAGTCATATGGGTCAGAAAAGAAATCACTGCTTCCTGTTTTTTCTGAACTCAGACAGATCCTTGTTGACATAGCCAAAAAGCCAACACCAGATGAATCTAGAGCAATACATTCCTTGAAATTTTATTTTTATTTTTATATTTTCAGTAGGTCCTCTAGCCAGATATTTTTGCATTGAGCACATGCAGAACAGAAAGTTGCATAGTTCCCATGAAAACACACACAGAAAATGAAGTGTGAATGGTAGGTACACCCTAGAACACCACTCCAGTCTGGCTGTATTCAGAGAAGGAAATTGTGAGACTATTATGGCTGTGAGTGCTGTGCCAAGCACATGAATGTTTTATTGGAATCAGTTGCATGTGGAGGGGAAGAGCAAAGACTTTGAAACCAGCCTGCCTTGATTCACAGTCTTCCTTTGTCATTTGCTACCTTAACTTCCCAGTGCCTCAGTTTTCTTAATTGTGCAATGAGAATAGTAATAGCAATTATTCATGGGGTTGCTACGTGAAGTAAGTTATACTAACACTTGTTTTCCTAATTTTATTTGTCAATGGAGAGGCACCACCAAACTTAGTGACTTAAAACAACGGCAACCCTCTCCCTCCATGGTATAGTCTTTTTGTGTTTCAATTTTAGTTTACATAATAATTTAAAATTATTTTTAATTTTTTATTTTGTAGAAAAAATAAAATTTCATAACAAAAAATAGCAATTTATCATTTCTTACAATCATGAATCTGGGTTGGGTTCAGCAATGTGGTTGTTCTGCTGCAACTGGAATGTGCAAGACTTTTGTCACTCACAGATCTGACACCTTAGCAGGAACTGCTAGAGCCAAGCAGAACATTTCTTGCTCTGTCTGTCTGTCTGTCTCCTTGTCCTCCTCACCAAGCTAATTTAAGGTTCCTCTCACCATGCTGAACTCAGGATAGTTAGGTTTCCTACATGTCAACTTTTAGGAGAATAAAAGCTGACTTTCTGAGCTATGCTTCACTTCCGCTGTATTCTGTTAACAAAGCAGATAACAATACCACCTTAAATACAAGAAAAGCAAAGAAATTAGCCTCTTCTTGATTTGAGGAGTGTCTTATACACATAGAATAGAATGGCATTTATGAATCTATCTTTGGAGAACACCTGCTAAATGTAAGAAAACTACAAGAAAAGCAAAGAAATTACCTACTTCTTGATTTGAGGAGTGTCTTATACAGACAGAATAGAATGGCATTTATGAATCTATCTTTGGAGAACACCTGCTACATAGTTTAATATTATGCCTAAGTGTTGGAGGTGTGGCTCAATGGCAGAGCATGCATTTAGCATGATGTGAGGACTTAGATTCAATCATGAACAACAAAACAAAGATAAAAATAAAGAAGAGCAACATTTTAAAAACCCCACAGAAATCATCAAACAGTAGCAACAAATGATACCTAACTTAGAGGAAACAAGCACTAGGTGTGCTATTATTTTATTTTTATATTATTATTAGTAGTAGTAGTATACCCATCTTATATTAAGAATTTTATGTTGATATTTCAAATTTTCTATTACTGTTACTAATTTTGTTGTATATATTATGAACAGAGTCTGTAGTCACAAGCACTTTGCCTTTTAAAAATGGTCCAGGTTATAATTTTAGTGAAACTAAGCTTGAACATTATAAGCTTTATAATTGAAGGTACCAATATGCCATTGCAATAATTAAATTTTCTAACTTGGCTAGTATAACTGCAGATGTGATTCACTGACTCCTCTCCATCTAATGTACCTCCACTGTAGCACACACGTATACTTATAAACTCATAGGCTTGCATTTATTTTGGATTTAATAATAAAACTTGGCAGATGGTTGAGTTCTATTGGTCTTTGGCTCATTTGTGCAAGAAAATTAGACAATATTTGTGAACATTTTGGGAAAGCTTGTGTGCTGATCTTTATTTGCTCCCAGGTACTTTTCATGGTATTCTGTTTCATAGGTAAACATTCTTCTCAGGCTCCCATTTCCTTCCCTGACTCTTAGTGAGGAAGCTCTAGTAGAAGAAACGCAGTCTGAAGCCAGCTCATAAGGGCTGCAGAGAACAGATTGTGTAATATTCAGTAACTTTGCAACTGAATTATTAATTCTTAGTAGTTGGAAACCAACCATCATGCAAATAATTAGACCATGGGAATTGATAAATGCTATAAAGTAGGGATTTTTATGTTGAGAGGAAGGGGTTGGTAATGAGCATGTTGCTTGTCTAGAGGAATCTTTGTCTTGCTGTGCCTCAGATGTTGTCACTAGTAGTGCCTCTGTGGTTCTCGCTGCATGAAGAACTTTCCATGGAAGTCTCATTTCTCACCAGGTATCCTGGAGTTGTTTCCAGGTTCTAAAATGTAGCCTTAATTTCCTTGTTCACTCCATTTTTTGGAAATGGAAGCTTCCTGCTGTAGCTCACCACTGGACAGCCTCACAATGTTCTATTGAACTTTGTAGCTCTTCAATTACCAATATACTCAGTCTCCTATATTGTTCTTTCTCTTCTTTAAATACCTACAGTTGTGTCTCTTTTTCAGTTGGACTATTGTCATCATCTCAAGCACCCTCTTCTATTTAACCCCCATATGCACATAGAGAGGTAATATATATTATTGTCCTGTATGCTATATTCTGCATGCCCGAACTCTAGAGAAGAGTCTTGTAATCATTGTATTTTTCTCAGGTCACTATAAGTGGGCCATTTAAAAACTTGATCAACCAATAATACACTACCAAATTCAATAAACATTTCCCCTTTATAATAGAGGCTTTTTTTTTTTTTTTTTTGGTACTGGGAATCAAACTCAGGACCTCACATTTGGCAGGCAGGCGCTGTGTCACTGAGGTAAATCCCTAGCCCATAGTAGAGATTTTGTGACCTCCATTTATTTGTAGGCTTTTAGGATTTTAGTTGCACCTTGATCTGGGAAAAGTGTCTGTTAAGATGAATAAATAAATCCCTCCTATCTTCTCCATCTTTTCTTTTTAATAGGTTTGTTGATTTTCTAATACTATTTTCATATTTGACAAAATATTTTGTAATTGAAGTTTTGACTGTCTGTAGTTAGATGATGGACCACTGAGGGAAACACACACATCTTTTTCTTTCACTGCTGCATTTACATGTCCTGTGATACATGGATTACCCACTGTAAAAGGTCATGAATTCCCTATCATTCCTAAATTTGTAGCAAATATCTCACATCCTCTATAAAGAGTTCCTAAGTCCGCTTGAAGAGAAGTTAGAGAATAAAGAAAAATTCCCACTACCCTCTTGTTTTGAATTTACTATCAAAATTAAAATGACTTACGCTAGAATTGACAGAACTTTCTTGGACAATGTACGAAGAATACAGCTGAGCTCAAAATATCAATAAATAAATGGAAGAATAACTGGATAAGGAAGTCACAATTTGCTCTGATGGTAGAGGCAGGGGCTACTGTGATTCTTGATAAAAATCGAGACGTTTAGTAAAAAATAGTTGAAAGCAGTACAAATCTCAGTGTACTACCTGTCTAAATGCAGATTGAAAAGGCAAGTTGTGACAAAACTGGTTTTTGCTGAAATTGGAAGCCCTGGAGCAAAGTACATTGGCAAAGTGCCTCATCTTCTGCAGAAGATTTCAGATCTTTGCCTCCTTTCATAGTTCCCTACCCGTGAGAGTTAGCCAGGCTATTTTCAGAACGCCTCCAGAGCTGAACATGTATGTGTCCCTCTAGCCATTCACTTGGAGAATATTGAATACCTATTCCACCAAGTACCTCTCAATACTTGGTATAAACAGATTAAAAATAAATCTGCTTACATCTTCGAGGAACTGAGGGTCTGTTATACCCATAAGCACTGCATAGAAAACATTTCTGAACTATTTGGTGAAGTAAATAGTCTTTGCTAGGGCTGGGGAAAAGACCTTGTAGAGGTGATTATCAGTAGAAAAAGAGAGCTGTGGTACCTGACTCTTGTAGGAAGAGCCAAAGCAGCTTTGTCAGCTTGCGCGCAGTCAATTCTGCAGGGACTTCTTGTGAAAAGTGAGCATTTGCTGTCCCGGGAAAGTCCTGCTCCATGACTGAAAGGAAACGGTAAGTGTTATTGTTTGCATTGCTACCCACTATCTGAGAGCAGGTAATTTACAAAGAACAGAAGTATATTTCTGACAGTGCTCAAGGATATGAACCACAAATCCCAGAGGATGGCCTCTGGGGAGGGCCTCTTTGCTCTCTTTTCACTTGGTGGAAAGGGGACAAACAGGGCATCCTCACAAGACTGAAAACTCACTCCAGCGAGGCCTCTTTGTAGTGAGTGACTTTAGCCCATTCGTGAGAGCAGAATGCTCATTACCTACACATTGGCCCTCATTTCCCACTGTGGCCTTGTTGGGTAAAATCTCAGTACAAGAATGTTGGTGGGTGCAGTCAAGACTATACCAACATCCTACTTCTTGTTCACAGTATAACAGGGTGCCTCAATGTGTACTTTTTACACACTGGCATGGGCATTTCAGTACAGGAGATGCCAAATGTCTAGTTTTCCTGATTTAAAGCAAAAATGGTCAATTCCATCTTCCAGAAGATTTATTGCACGGATAAAATGTAGAAGAACTCAACTAGCTCCCTCCAGCAGTTAGCTAATGCTGCATAACAAACAGCCACAAATAATTGGTGACACACAGTAACAATAAACATTTATTTAGCTAAAGCAAGTCATACCACCAGCTTCTGAGTCAGAAATAGAAGCTATTGCAAACTTATGTGGCATGATATACAAATCCTAACAGAGGTGAATTTTGAGGAACCATCAGTACAACTGGATTACCATGCAAATAGGAATTTTTTCATCTGATGAATCTATTGATAACATATTGACTTACTTTATTTTATTGAACTATTTTAGTTTTTAGTACACTATTTTATTTTTATAAATAAAACTATTTGAAGTACTGGGGATTGAACTCTGGACCTCTAGCATACTAAGAAAGTACTCTGCTACTAAACTATACCCTTAGAAGAGGAGTAAAATTGTTTTGATAAAAATAAAATAAGTGGTAAAAGCCAGCATCTTCCACAAAGATGTGTGATTACTTTCACTATTGACTGGCTGTTCACACTCTTTCAATTCAACATTTAATTAAAATGCCATTGTGTACCAGTTGCTGCTGTAAGCACCTGTGGTGCAGTGATCAGTACGGCATTTGTGTTTGACCCAAAGTGGATTACTGGCAAATTTCCACATGTTCTCACTTCCACATACTGATTTATGAATGCAATATCGTCTTGAAGGATGACGAGGATGAGAAAATTGGTCCAAGGAGCTTTCCTAAAAATTTTGTTTTGTGTCATCCTTAAGCGTGATAAACCACAGTTGAAATCAAAACACATCTTGCACTCAGCACTGCCTTTATGAACACTCTGGTAAGCATGGAGGGCCACTACCTGCGGCTCCATTCTCCCATGAGTAATAGCAGCTTCTAACTCTTGGTAATGTAAATTGCTCAGATAAACTCCGAACTGCATTTTAATACTTTCTGAATATTGGATAACATCACGTTCTTCGCTGACTCCCACAGGAGTGATTTTAAGCACGACATGTGCCCCTCGTCTAGGCAGGGAATGCATTTAATAGTGAACCAATACTGCTGGACAGTAGATTTACACTGCCTTCTCTCATCTAGATTTTTGGCAGAGTCCCTTCCTTACAACCAGGAATGATGCTGGGTAGCAGTAAGCAATAATGGATAAACAGACTTTCAGCGAAGCCCTTCAGTGATGCATGGGCTACTCTGGGTTAAGCCTACCATCCGTCAATACGGTACGATCTTGTAAGAGCTCAAAAGAACCGAAAAGGAATAAAACTTCCACGCTGTCTTACGTTGTCTTGTTTCTTTACTATCCGTGGCATTCACGACCCTGGAAATGTTCCAGAACATTGCTTGCTGCTTGCTAACTCCTAAGTGAAGGAACACTGAGCATGAGGGGTTACTTTAGGGAATGGTACTTTATATTCCTTTGGAGAAAAATGCATAGACTTTTTAAAGAGCCTGTTTTAGCATGTGTTAATGGCTGCACATCTGGGAATGTCAGTACCAGCTTTAGTAGGATTTCTTTCTATTCCTGTTCTGCCACATGGAAATGTGAGAGCTGAAATATTATTTCATTAGCCTGCAGGCCCCCTTAGCTCTGTGTTCTCCATAAGCATTCACTTAGTCTGTGAGAATGAGCATGTCTTTTCACAGGGTAGGAAAGGGAGGTCATCAAGAATTTAGTATGAGGGAAATAAGCAGTAGTGTATCCCTTCACAGAGTGATTTGGAAATCCTAGAAATGGGAACTCTTCCAAGGCATACACTGACTTTGCACCTTCACTAATGAGAGTTTGCACAGAGAAATGGAATGACTTTCACACTATGTAGAGACAATAATTTTATACTCTGCCATCTGAATTTTACTTTATATTCCAAACCAAGTTTCAATTATGAGAGTTAATGAAGGAGAAATATAATGAATATAGGAAGAATATATGTGATATTAAATTTCACATGTGTTAAAACTTTATGTCAGCCACTGATTTAAATATCTTTACTTATCCAGTGGCAAAATTTACTAATGGATTTGGTGAATAGGTTTGTTTTCTTCCACACCGATGCCATGATTATTTCAAATATGAATGAATATTTACTCACTTTCCTTGCTTTTTAAAACTATTTGTTAGACATAAATGTCCTATCATCTATCTACTATCCACCTATTTGCTACCTATCTATCTATCTATATTTATCTATCATCCGGCTATGCAACCTCATTTGTTTCGTTATCATAACAACCATATGAATTAGGTATTTCTACCGATCCCATTTTAAGTGAAGAGCTTAGGTATACATATGTTAAGAAATGTGCATGGAGACAAGGCTAGTACACGTTACATGCAGTACTCAGGTCCAGATATTTTGGATTAGAACGCACTCAAGCACATTTAGTTAGGCACTTAACTCCTGCGCAATCATTGCTTTTCAGAACAGTGTTTTCCACATGAGGCGCTTCCACTAAAAGCATCAGAAGTCTCAACCAGAAAACTTCCAATTCCCTAAAGCATCATAGATCTACCTAGTTGGAGGATGTAAGGTCTGAGACTTGGCCCCGCATTTTGTGAGGCCTTCTCGTACCTCCCTTAGTCACACTCCGTGGGGCAATGGTTCCTTTGGTCCAGGATGCACAGTTCCCCAGGTCCTGGGTGTGCTCTTCCAGACCACGATTTGGTGTACAGGGCCTGCACGACTGTTAGCCCGAGTCTGTCCTTTGGATGGCATCTGGTGCTGCCACTGTGAACACTTCTTGGTACAAAGGGTAACTGGGGGTGTGTGTTTGTGGGGAGCGTGCACAGAACTTGGATGGGTGCGATGAGGTGTTGTGTTGGTTTTGGGGGTATTTTTGCAAGGGGAAACAATATAATACAGGACACATAGTTTATAAGATTATTTATAGTAGTCACCAAAAAAATGATACACAAAAGAGTGCAGGGAATTTGTCCACACACTAAGACCAAGGAATCCAGCTAAGGGCCTGGATCCCATGGAAATGTCCTGCATGAGCCCAGCTGAAGACCTAGAGCTCATAACAGTGCCTCCCATGAGTCCAGCTGGAGGCCCAGAGCCCATAACAATATCTCATGCAGGGCTTTTCCACAGATCTGTGCTGTGAAAGTCCAAAGGTCAGTGGTAGAAGCTAGAAAGTCTGTGCCAGCGGGATGAAGGATCTGTGCTAGCAGGCTGAGGGATCTGCACTGGGCCAGGAAGCGATGCGCAAAGTAAGAACCAGAGCTCTCCTGAAAAGTACCACAGCCATCCTCAGCAACAGTGAGGTCCTGAGCTCCTCCAATGGTGAAGACAGCCGAGTTCCCATCAGGAAAACCAACGCAGCAAGCTTCTTCAGGAGACTGAACTGTGCACCATCTTCCCCTCCAGAGCCAGGAAGCAATGCTCAGAGTGAGGACCAGAGCTTCCCCAAAGTGAAATGAAGCTGTTCTTAGTGCCAACAAGGTCGTGAGCTCCTCAAAGGATGAAAATGCCCATGTTCATCAGGAAAGCCAGTATGAATGACGAGCTGCTCCAGAACAACCAACAGCTCCTTACAGTTTCTATCAGCTCCCAACAGCCTCCTTCTCCTTCTCCAGTTCTGCCTTTTATGCTGCTGGCAACAATCCCCAGGTGGGCCTCCCACACTTACTCAGTTCAGCTGGGGGTTATAAGTTGACCACCAGCTGTCAATCCACTACAGGTGTCTACATATCCTTTTGGCTTGGGCAACTAGAACAGGCAGTTCTGGAGGCTCAAAACCCAAGATCAAGATCTGGCCAATTAGGTTTCCGGTGTGACCTCTCTTCTGGCTTACAGAGAGTTGCTTTTTTGATCTGTCCTCACATAGCCTTCCCCCTGTGCATGGGGGTGGTGCTGAATATGAGATTTCTGATATCTTTCCTAAGTCGTTGAATATGGTTCCTAACCATAGAATCCCATTTAATATGAAGTATTTCCTTAGCCAAATATCATCTCACTGGGTGTTAGAATTCAAACCTGTGACTCTGAGGAGTACAAAAGCATTTGTTCCAGAAAAACGTACATAGCCTGAGGCTCTTTTGCTGGGAAGGAAAGTAGAGACAGAAGTTGGGTCAACTCGTACCTTTTGTGTGGGATCCCCTGCCAAACCCCAGTAGTTCTAAGTTTGAGTCAATTCTGTGAGTTGGAAAGAAGTTAGCAAAAATAAACACATTTATTTATCTATTTGTTAGCTTGATTTGTACCTTTTCTTTTTATAGTACTGGAGATTGAACTCCAGACCTTCATATTGAAGTAGCTATATTCCTAGCCTTTTGTTTACCTTTCTTCTTTTTCTTTCTTTCTTTCTTTCTTTCTTTCTTTCTTTCTTTCTTTCTTTCTTTCTTTTTATTTTTAAATCACTAAGTTGATTTTTTTACATCACTAAATTGCCCAAGCTGAGTTTAAAAATCCTCTTGCCAGGCTTCCCAAAGTCCTGAGATTTACAGGGATGTACTACCATGCCAGAAGTTTGTCACCTTCCCCTATTCCAGTCACATTGTTCGTGTGCATGACATCCTGTCTCCATTGTACATCATCTGGGGAATGAGGAGAACTGGTCTACCTAACCAACAGTGTAGTTATTGAAATTTGAATAGAAAATCTTCTTGAAAGATCACATAAAATTGACCATAGTGAGGCTTTGTATAAGAAATCTTAACAGCATAGTGTTTCTTCCTAATAAATTTTTCTATGTTTCCATAAATAAAATAATAAATAATACAAGAGACTAAGGCCCAGAAAAAATTCCTCAGAGATCATCTGTGACTGAGTGGTCTACGTGGGAAGGTAGTCAACTGTGGCATATCTCTGCTCAGTCTTCTAGTTTAGTCAGTGGAGAAATGGACCTCTGGCAAACTCTCTGAGGTCCCTAGTACTGTTATGCTGGCCAGTTGCTCCTTGAGCAGACTTTCTCCAAGCACCATGCTTACACACCTTGGTCCATTTCTCACCTGCCTTCAAACCACATGAAAATCCGCTGAATTAGAACACGAATGGACACCATTCTATGGCATTTTGCCTTCAATTGTACCTTTGGTGACAATGAAGTTCAGTCACAGTGTAATATCATTGATAATTTTCACTGTAAGTAGTTTGCTTACCTAATATTTCACCAAGTTTTAAAATTTGCTTTGACAGTGAAGAAGATCAAACCTAACTCCAACGACAAAGTGACCGCATTTATACCGTAACTATTCCTGAATTTCTAGTTTTAAGATCTGAACTTATGATTTTATTTTTTCTGAACCTTGTTTGTGTTATAATTATAGGGAGGTGAAGAATAAGTTCAATGAGTAATTAAAATATTAAGACTTTTAAATTTTCTATAACAAAATGTTTTCAACCTTCTGTCATAAACAGATAACTACAAGCAAGTGAAAGAATTTCATTTGGAAATAAGGACTTCGAAATAAAAAAATGCATAGAAAGTATTTATTGAGCCTATATTACTGTGTGCTAACCATTCTGCTAACCTCTTCACATACATTATTTGATTTATCATTTCATTTTATTTTTTTATTTTTTACTTTTTTTTCTTTTTGAGATAGGGTAGTAATGTAGTTCAAGCTAGTCTTGAGCTTACTTTGTAGCCCAGGCTGTTCTCGAACTCACAACAACCCTCTGCGTCAGTCACCTGAGTGCTGGGATTACAAGAGTGCACCATCATGCCCAGTGATTGATCACTTTAAAGCTTTAGGACTTGAGCAACATTATTACCCCCTATTACAGATAAGAAAGTAGCATTGGAAAGCTTAAGCTACTTGCCTGTGTGTGTGTGTAGCTCAATGGTAGAGCACTGCCCTCTCATAAGTGAGGCCCTCGATTCAATCCTCAGTACCACAAGTAAAGTTTAAACATCATTAGCAAGAAGAACAACTAATGATAGGCTAAACAATAATGTACTTAATATTCCTTTAACACATTCTCACATATATATATTCTGAAACCAAATACTTTCTCACTCTCTTAGTTGAAAAAAATAATACATATTGTTGTAGATAAAAGGCATCCATACAAACAAATACTATGTGAAAGACCCATGCCATTACATGTTAGGTAAAGAGGATTGCCTGTGTGGAACCTGGACCTGAGATTGCTCTGTCTTTGTTGGAGGGGAGAGTAGTAAGTGTTAAGTGTTAAAGTAGCGGGGGTGTTAGCACCCACTCACACTTTCTCCTTATGTTAATCAGACACTGAAGGAAATGAAAAGGAGTAATTCTCCCAGCAAGCAAGCCCATGATATGTAATCTTGTGTCTTGAAATTTTCTGCAATCTGGTTGTGGCTGTGGCATTCTACCCAGCCTTTCCCTGTTTTGATGTTATTCCTGCTGTACAACACCATACCTTGTTGCTGTATTAACACTGAACCTTGCTCAATATCTTTAGAAATAATAAAAAAGAAATTTCCTTCTTAAGTGTAAGTCCTTCCATTTTTTTTTTTTTTTTTTTTTGGTTTTTCTCCGGTACCGGCAACCAAACTCATGACCTTGGGCTTGCCAGGCAGGCGCTTTGCCGCTGAGCTAAATCCTCAGCCCCAGTCCTTCCATTTTAACTCAGGCAAAATTCCTCCTGCCCTGAGTAGGGTTAGTTAAAATACTAATGGAAGTGATAATAATATTCATAATGATCAACTCTAATCATTGGCTATCTACTATATCAATGGAACTGCTATGGTCCTTATAAATATGTTTGGTTAATCATCTCAACAGCATCAGGGAATTAATACTGTTCCAGTTTTAAGGTGGGATGAAATTGAATTTCAGACATCCCACAATGTGTTAAAAATGTTTTGCCAGCTATTTTTCAAAGGACTAATATCCAGAATATATAAAGAACTCAAAAAATCAGAATCCTCAAATTTAAAGACCCAATCTAAAAATGGGCATTTGAAATGAATAGATACTTCTCACAAGAAGTAGAAATGGCAAATAAATATATGAAAAAATGTTCAACATCACTGGTCATTTGAGGATACAAATTAAAACAATGCTGAGATTACATGTCACCCCAGAAAGAATGGCTATTATCAAGAAATCAACCAACAACAAGTGCTGGCAGGGCTGTCAGGGTAAAGGAACCCTTCTCGACTGCTGGTGGAAGTGTAGACTGGTGCAACCACTGTGGAAATCAGTGCGGGGATTCCTCCAAAAACTAAAACTAGTGGTCCCATTTGACTTAGCTATTTCCCTTCTTGGTATCCTCCCCAAAGAATGAAAGTCATCATACTACAATGATATATGCATATCCATGTTTATAGCAGCAGTTTGTAACAGCTAAATCTTGGAAATAGCCCAATGTTTATCAATTGATGAATGGATACAGAAGATGTGGTTTTGTTATACACTGGAGTACTACTCTGCCACAGTGAAGGATAAACTTGAGACATTTCTATGTCAGTGATGCACCTTGAGGCCATATTCTTAAGTGAAATAAATAGCACACGTATTTTTAAAAACCACATTGTCTTTCTGGTCTGAGAAATGGAAAGTGTAAATAAGAACCAAAATGTATAATAGATATTAGGAAATGGGAAGAAAATGTTCAAATAAGAATAGGAACAAGGAGTGGAGGAAGGAAGGAAGGGACAAGAAAACAAAGGGAGGATAAAAGGAGAAAAATGGAAACAAAATTTTTGTACAGAAGGATGGGAAGAAGGGTTGAAGGGAGGGGAGGGGCACAGGAAAAAGGAAAGTGTGTCATTCATGGATACAAATTCCCTGTGATGAATGTGATTATTATATGTATCTAAAATGCACCAATGAAATAAATAAAAGGAAAAGAAACTGAATCTGGGAATGAAGTAAACTGCTTAAGGTGACACCCATCCTTCTGGTCAACACGGCTTGAGCTGCACCTGCCTTCAAAAGGGAACGCCAGCTGAGGATGTGCTATCCCACGTATGAGACCTCAGATCTGACTTTTCACAGGCAAAAACCTTTCACAGATATTTCACAGCATATAGATTTAAGTTTTTCTAAAAGGTACATTTCCCCCTAAATTTTCTAGTAGTACATGATTTAGCCATTTTCCACCTCACAACTTCCTTTTCTGTAGTTTTTCAGTGTTATTTTACAAATTAAAACAATGCTGAGATTCCATGTCACCCCAAGTCAAGAGGTTCACCTTTGTTCTCCGGTTTACTCCTAGCTGACTTCCAAGCAGGATTCTGTTTCATAAGGAGCGGAATCCCTTCGCATCGTGAAAGTCCACCAGGAGCGTAGTTGGTCTATTCGCAGTTTGCCATAAACAAAAGATCTGTTGTTGTTTATTTTTGTTTTTCGTATTTCTCCCAGCTGCTTGTTCCTGTGACTGGCAGAATGCTCAGTACTAGCTAGATTAGGTCTATTGTTCTGAAGTTGCCGGGTCTGAGATGACCTTTTTCACCTTCCTGCCGAGCTCCATCCAAGTGCGTCTGCTCCCTCACACTCTGCTCCAGCCTTCTTGACTCTATATTTCTCTCTCTCAGTGACATATTCTTCTGTGCTATTTCCCCAGCAGTGCAAGATTCCACTCGCCAAAGGGCGGTACAGGAAACATTTGCCATCTGATTTCCTCTCGGGTTGCATCGACCACTTTTATTTTTACCAACCAATTCCACCGCTGAAAATTAGTTTCACTTACAAAAAACACGCTGGTAGCATATTTTGTCCTTTCCTTTGAAGGCCCTGGAATTCCTGTTCCTCTCCACCCCCACAAATTTTTCAGGAAGCTTTTGATCTTGAAGAATTCTAAACCTAAGTCTGGTGAATTTTGGGGAGAGTTACTGGAAACACCTTGACAAATAAAGCATCGTTCAGGGACATGACTCCAAAATACATCTATTAAAACAGAAGAGGAAAATGGCAACTGTCTCACATCCAGTCAGGTAAGTAGCTTTTTGTACTCCAAGTTGTGATAAGAGCAAACAAAAAAGTCACAGTGCTGTGGAGCCTATCTCTGACAGCTTGCTGTGGTGTTTCTGACTGGCAGATACTTTGTACACTTTTAATAGCATTTCAACACTTGTCTATTCCTGAAGCAACATCATCTTTCTAGCTGGAATATCAATGTGTGCTGAAAATTTCCACCCTTTTTTCAGCCCCTCGGTGTAGTATTTCCTGATAGCAGAAAGTTGGTTGGCAAAATAGGAAGTTATCTAAATTGTTTAAGTAGCTCTTCTGGTGGAGATAAAACCTTGTTCAGCAACTTGTTTTCCATTTGTAAAAACAAGCCAGATAAGCCTCTCTAGAAGAGGTTATCTCAGCTCTTTCCGAGGATTCCAGACTAATCAAACACCCATTTGAAGTCTGCAGCCCAGACTTTTTATAACAACCGTGTTCTGCCTTACAGATGATGCATGGAAATTTAGGCAAATACACTTGGAAAGCTCCAAATTAAAATCGAAAATGATAATAAAACTAGTTTGTTGAACTAGATAAGATAGGAGAAGAAAGCCTGCAGGGATCCTGTTTCAGAAGATTGATGAAGAAAATTTTGAAGGATAATGAGCCAAAAATTCAAGAGCGTCTTTGAAAAACACCGGCAGAGAATTTTGTCGCTTCCATAAATAAGCAGTTTTGTATGGACTTGGGAAGTTTTACACCTTTGGAATAACCCTACCATCAGAAAGGTAATAGATCTTACACTCTTACAAGCTGTACCTTCTTGCTGCCTGGAAGTCTCTACCCGCCACTTCACCATGCTTATGACTTCTGGTCACTTAGGCTTACAGTTGTCTTTTTAAAGGCAATGGTGAGTTTTTGAGCAACTCTTTTATGGAAGACATTGCGCTTGTCATTCTTTGATAATTTATCTCATTTGGTACTTATGAAATATATTTGAAAAAATGTTTTATTATCTCCACTTTTGGAAAGAAAACAGAATGATTATGTCATTTAAGTGGAGGAGCCTAGACATGAGACACCCCCCCCCGCCTCCCGTTTTTGATTCCAAGCTCTTTCTGTCACACTTTTCTTTTGTGAGTTCTTTAAAAGTACAGAGGAGTCTAAGTTGAGTTGAATTTACTGTTGTCCAAAGTTATTTCATTTAACTTTTTCTCCCTTGAGAGATGTAAAGCAAATCTGTAGGCTGCCAATATTTATAATATGTACTTTATACACATTAGTTCATTTGATCTTAAAAATAATCCTAGGGGTAAGAACAATTATTAATAGCATTTAGAAGTGAACAAATATGGGAGTTTAGTGAAGTTAAGTGGACCAAATCTTTGTGACCAAATAAAAACTCAAACCCCTGTCCATCTGGTGCTTGTTTCCAAAGTTTTAGCCATTCTGCTTTATGTGGTTTTGGTGAACCAGTGAGGTTTCTACTACCCAACCAAATGGCCCCTTGACACTCTAGATCTGCCTTTGGAAACTCTTCCTCCTTCATGTTCTGTGATGTTCTATGATCATGACCACCTTCATATATTATTCCTCACTGTTCTTTTAAAAAAATTGGGGTCTTAATGTATCTCATGCATGCTAAAAGCACAGAGAGCATTATAAACATTCATGGTAAAGCCACAGTTTGATTTCTTATTTTTAAGACATAAAATATGACAGATACTATTTACAAGAACTTTCTTCTTCCTCTCCTAGTTCATTTTCCTCTTATCAGAACCACTAGCTAGTTGCCTTGAAGTTGCTGTTTCAATTTAATAGAGTGCTCAATCATCTTTACTGTTCCATGGGTATGAATACACAGTCTATACCATTTATAATCATTAGTAAATATATTATTCTGAATGTTTCATTATAAAACCTTCCAAAATTATATTTTTATATCCACATCATATGTATAGCAATAGTTTTCTTTTGTTTAAACTACTGAACTATATTCCCTTATATAACTCTGGTATATCAATGTCTTTAATAGTAAGTTTTCTGATTTTGTTAAATGTTGCAATTCTGGTTACTCTCTTAAGTAGGAAGTCTGCAGAGAAACAGAAGGAAATCCCAGGGAATTTTTTTTTAAAAATGAGGTCAAGCTCTGATTACTGATAGTCTAGCCTGGTGTTTCACTCCTGAAATTATTGTACAAAAGGTGTGTCTTGTTGTACAGAAGTTACACATTGAAAGAAATGAAAGGAAGCAGTAATTGAAACAGGAAATTTTTGGGTGAGAGCTTACTCAAACTGAAAATGTAAACATACCGGGAGTAGTTAGAAAAAAGTCTAAGTTCATAGATAACAAATAGTGTCACCTTTACACTTCATATTGAAATCGAGTCAGACGTGGGTATGAAATTTTTCTGTATCTCTGCATTACGCACTTAAGTACTTACTGAGTGTATACCAGTATACCAGTCCCTTTTCTATGAACTGAGTCCACAACAAAAATCTTGTCCGCTTCTGACTGGCATTTGGTTGCTAAAGTTCTTCTTCATGGTATAATAACAACAGTGCATCAGGAAATGAAATTTTAACTGGGGCTTTAATGTCTCAGAAGAAGCCACATCTGTACCCTGAAATGCTTGTTTCATTTCATCAAACTTAAGCTGTAGCCCAGCCATGAAGAAGGTTTAAATGTTGGTTTTTTTCATGGACAGTCCCTCCACATTGTCCTCCTTTCTAAGTTAGGCCTGCAGGGGTGTGTAGAACCCATGTGTTTGTGCCTTCATGGTTATTTTACTATAGATGATCCTAAGATATTTCTACAGTGTTCTTAGAACTAGCTATCCTTTGTCTGCAGTCTAAAATTCAGCAGAAATAAAAATCAACACTTCAATGTATTCAATTCAAAGCTTTGCTCACTATATTGTGATTAATTCCTGTAATTTCTGCAGCACTTAGGTAAGAATTTTAACCTGATAAGTATTTGAAGAAACATTAATGAATTATATGGGAAAATGACAATGGTTGTAAGTCTGTGACAGAAAGAGCTGCAATTCTAAATAACAACAGTTGTGGATATGTTATGCCTGCTTTTTGTTACATTAAGCATCAAAATCTTACATAATTGTAAGTTAATTTTGTTCAGATTAACTCTCTCTCTCTCCACACACACATGCACACATGCATAAAGAGAGAGAGAGAGAGAGAGAGAAAGAGAGAGAGAGAGAGAGGAGCTTTAGTTATTTACTTTTCAGTTAAATGTTTCATTTTTTAGCTACAGCCTCATTTGCTTGCTAAAATGCACAACTTTGCTGTTATTCTTTTGTTGAAGCCCAACCTATATCTAAAATATATTTTCTTTAAATTCTATTAGGCAATTTTAATTCTTTTTTCAGTTTTTCAGGTTGATAAGTAAAATTAATATTTAGCAGAATGCAGTGATAACAGTCTTACCTGGGCATCAATACAAGAGGGATGATCTTTCTCATTCACTTTTTGGATGATTTTGTCCTCTTCACAGTAAAATTAGAGATTAGAATATAATGACACTCTCTGCTGACTTAACTCTTACTTTTCTGTGGTATTCACTTCAAGTTCTGCTTGCACCAGCTACCTGGAATTTACTTGCTTCTAATGCACATGATAATGCCATGTGTCCTCTTTTGCAATTTTCTTTCTACTTAGGATGACACTGTTAGCCTCCTGATCCTGCCTGATAGTTGTTTTAGACATCAGGTGATGATTTTAAATTATTATAATCACTCTAGCACTCTTTCTGTCACCATCTTTTCTGACAAATTCCATCTAACTGTACAACCACATTCTCCCTCCATTTCAGAAGCATGTTCCCTCCCTTCTATTTGTATGGGGATAAAGGTAACTGATGTGTGTGAGTTTGCCTTTGCTATTTACTCTGTATGACAGATGGATCCACACTTTCTTCTTTTGTGAAGTTTCTAGTTCTGTGAGGCTAAGCAATATGACATATTTTTCTTAAGTTTCAATTCTGAGATATATGACTGTTAAAGGACACACTGATGAAATAAAAAGAAACATTCACTTTTATTATATTAAGAAAACATTGAATAAGCTTTGCTTTTTGGATAGGTGTGATCTTGCAGAGTTTGGGTAGACATTTTGATACCTTTTCAAGTAGCTCTAGGACTGTGTATACTAATTAATCGTGTGAGTACCATCCACATCCCCTGAAAAAGGTATTGAAAATTTCTAATGAACTTGTCACAAGTGTCTTTTCTAGTGAGGTAGCAGCAGATAAAAATCTCACAAATAGAATTTCCATATGGCTTAACAAGGGAAGGCTGCTATTCCGTGTTAAAATATTCCTATTTCCTAGCAGTATGTATTGCACATAAGCCTAAAACCTAATGCATTTATATGGAATATTCCCCAAACTCACTACTGCTCTCAAACGATATGATCCTTAAGGAAAATGCTTGCGGCCCACAGATCAGGTGACATTCGTGTTTCAGACACGTACTGAGTGAGGAGGATGAGCAGACAGATAGTGAAGGAAAGGAAGGGGTGGAAAGATGGGCACCAAGTAGGAGCTATTAATCAAACACTTTGCTTTGTTCTCTACAGACCCTTTGTGTCTAGGGCTTCCTGATACGGTTCTGAGGATTCCGGTGGGTGTCTCGTGTCCTGAGTGGGTAGTCACGTTAGGTGTTTTCTAACTCTGCCGTGTCCTACTTCTCAGTTCCAGACAGTTGTTCTGTAGTGATGACTCCGAATACTGACAATGTCCAGAGCTGACTTCTGTATCTCTGAGCAAATCAGCCCAGCTCCTCAAGCTTCCCAAACACAGCATCTCTATGTTGAGGACTGGACTGGCGTTCCTGCTGAGTGCATTTTCCCTGAGTCTGGGCTGAGTTCCCAGTGCTCCAGTCATCCCTGAGAGAGGCCGGAGAGGCTGTCCTGATCACTTTGTCTAGGGAAGGCTGTTCTTTTATTCCCTACATCCAACTATTATTTACCTTGTTCATTTCACAATGCCAGATGTACTGCCACAAATGAAGCAAACGAGTGGATGAAGATCACCTACCTTTGACTAAGTACATTATTAGGCTTGGTCCCCAGGGGTGATGAATCATTATCTGGAGTTGAATCCAGTAGACTAAGTTTTAAAAAGCTCTCTCATGTGGTTCTGCAGGTGATCTGTCCCAGAATCGTGGGTTAAAAAACATCGCTTCAGGAACAATAAACACGAGACTTAGCCAGATTCTGCAGATGAGTTGGGCCCTCCCTTTGGAAAGAAAAAATAATACTAATACAGAGGAACTCCTAGAAGGAAATGGTACATGAATTTACTTAAAAGTCCCTATAACGAGTTACATCATATTTTACACAGATGTCAATTTGGATCGCTGAGCTGTTTTCAGGAGGAATTAGAAACCCAAGGGTCAGATACAAGATCTGGTTCTGGACCTCTCTTTCTTTTCTGCTTTTCATTTCTATGTTATTTTTCACTTCGGCAGTGATAGGGTGTTACATATGTGTGTGGCGGCAGGGACTGCTTGTGTTTCCTTAAAGTCGTTCTGTCTGAGCGAGAGGTTCCTCTGTGAGTCTGCTTCTCTAGTGCTTTGCACCTCAGGTTCGCACCTTCTTCCTTTAAGCTTTAATTATACTTTAATGCTGAATGCCCTTCAACTCTGCCTGGTTCAGGTGCTTTTATACTACGTTTAGATGTCACATTAGCTTACCTGAGCTGGACTTAACCCATGGGGTACACTGATCGGAGCTTTCTGCCTGGGACCATCTTTGCATATTCTCGGAAG